CTACGGATGTTGAGTTGGTTATGTTCTACCTCAAGAGGAAGGTATTGGGAAGAAAGTTCAAATTTGAAGTCATTTCAGAGGTCAACATTTACAAGTTCGGTCCATGGGATCTCCCAGGTATTATTACTTCTCAGCCAATTTAATACCACTTTAAATTCACTTTCTTTTCATTAGGTTTTACTTATATGTAAATGTGTGTAACGCATGCTTTTGTCATTTTTTTTAGACGCAACTGTTTTATGATCTGATATATGTTTCTTTTACTTGGTCCATGGAATTTTTTTCTGCTTTCTGCTTGGTTTGTCCTTTATATCATCCATTTTTTTTTTTGGCATTAATGTTTATCCTTGGAAGCACCTTCTCATTATTTTTACTGCAAAGCTACCATCTTGGTGCATGAATGAATTTTCTTTTTTATTTTTACTGTTTCCTTTATGTGGTTCCGATAAGCTACCATATTGTATTTACATTTCCTTTCCTTTATGTGGTTCTTACCTGATGCTTGGTGTTTCCTCCCTTAGATAAATCTTGTTTGCCAAGTAAAGATCGTGAATGGTATTTCTTTTGTCCGCGAGAGAGGAAATACGCAAGTGGCTCCAGAGCATCTCGCTCAACTGAAAATGGGTATTGGAAAGCCACGGGAAAGGATAGGACTGTTCTTTACAACGAACAGGCAGTGGGAACAGTGAAAACTTTGGTTTTTCACGTAGGCCGTGCACCAAAAGGAGAAAGATCTGATTGGGTTATCCATGAGTATAGGATTGACGATAAGGGTTTGGCTGAAGCAGGAGTTGTTCAGGTAATGTTGTTCACCCTTTGTTTTCTATTCTGAAGTATTTATTTTCAGATTCTTTATGTCTGTGGTGTATTTGTTTTCAGATTATTTATATCTCTGTCCATTTGTTACGTCTATGCTTAAAGCTTGTTCTATTTATATTTTGTCTTAAGTCGTACTCTTGCTACTATACTGTATGCACAAGTGTTTGTGGTCGTGTCTTACATGTTTCTGCTATACATGAAAATCCAGCACAATTTTTTTTTTGATAAATAAAATGTATTAGAAAGCGTTCAAGAGGGGAACACATCCCAAGAATAAACAAAAAACCAAAGAAAAATACAAGAAAGCGAAACATAGTGTCCTGCGGATCCAAAGAACCCAAAATGACCACTATCTCGTCTAGAGATATACAATTTCTTCCCATTACCCAACAAAAAAGGGAACTAATAATAGAAAATATCAGCGTCCCAATGGGGGTTTCCTCCCCCTCAAAATATCTTTTGTTACGCTCTTTCCACATGCTCCACCAAACATAATGGGGAATCCGAATCACCTTCCAACTGTCCCGAGCATGAGCCCCCACCCTTTGGCCCCTCCAAATATCAATCACCTCCCTTGAGGACTGAGGCATAACCTAATGAATACCAAACAAACCAAAAATAAGGCTCCAGCAATTTTAAAATGTTGGTTGTACTTTGTTATTTAATTATTTCTTTCTCAATTGCGTATTAAAGAAGATGGTTTATTGTCTTTTGTTGCATTTAATGAGACTAGCTTTTGGAGTTGCTGCTCAACGTGATAATTCTGAGACCAATTGAAGTAAAATTGATTTCTACAGATCTTGGGAATCTGTTGTCACTGAATTTGGGATTTTTTAGTAGAGGATATTGGTATTGTTCCCCTTCTCGGGTTTTGTGTTTTGAAGGAATTCTTCAATTATACCTTATAATTGACACTCTGTTAATACTTAATTTGGCTTCTGCATTAGGAGTGTGAACCAGGTGATATCGGTAAGGTTGTTTGCTTTCTCATTTTTTGTCTTCCTTGGAACCTACGTAATGACCATAATGGTATGCTCCTCATTAGAGGCACTATGTTCAGTCGAAATTTTAGTGCTTTAATCATGAAATGATTTTGGTGTGTACTTCAATCACCATGTAACACTTGTCTTTTATAGCTTGTTGCTGGAAGTTCTCTCCATTTATTCCTTTTATCATGTAATGCATTTGCCTTTGTAAACTCATTGATGTGGAAAGAGGTCTTTATCAATTTTAATTCACATTCTTGGGCTCTATGTTGCAGGATGCATTTGTTATCTGTAAAATATTTAAGAAGAGTGGCTCAGGTCCAAATAATGGTGCGCAATATGGAGCACCATTTAACGAGGAAGATTGGAGTGATGACGAGGAAGATGATTTGTCCCCAGAAGCTTTAGTCCTGCCTGATGATCAGAACAGCGCCTCTTTGTTTGAAGCTAGTCCATCTCATGCTGTGCCTTCTGAAGAGGTACCTCAACCTCTGCTAGATGACGATGATCTTGGTTTGTTACTGGCCATGTTTGTGGATGATGGTGATTTGCTTTCTAGTGAGAACGAGAATGTGGTGCGTAACTGCTGCCATTTTTACCAATAAAATGCCCTTCTGTGACTTCTTTCCAATTAAGTTCATTTCTATCTAGGCCATAAAGACGTCTTATTCAAACCATGAAGACATCTAAGTCACTTGTAAGTTTAAATTTAAACTTCCAATAGTCCAAAGTGACTGTCGCCATGTTCATTGACCATTTGGCCCTTATGGTGTAAATCATCTTAAGTCCAAGGGTCAAGTCAAATCATTCTAGGGACCATGGCATGAAATATATATATATATAAATAAATACTCCATTTGGTCCTAGGATCATATCGGAGTTCTGGACTTGCAACTTGAATTACTTTACAACATGTCTAGCTCTCACCAAGCATATACTACCCCCCATGATCTTGACCTTAGAATTCCATCATCATAATAATCCATAGCATGAGCTTTGACTACTTGATTTTCATAAATAATCTGAAAATATCACACTCAATAAATTGTTTAATTCTCACATACATCTTTAAAATCACTCATTGGGTTGAAACCTTGGGGTTAACATATTGGAGTGGGATGGGATGCAGGTATATGCTTGTAAAATAAAGTTTTTTGGCAAGTATCATTAGAATCTGGGAACCACTATCTGGTTATCATTGAACAATTTGCCTAGTGATGTCAATTACTTATTTCGAAATTGTTTAGAGTCGTGAATCTTTTTTCCTTTTAATTATCATTTTTGTGGAAAAAGGAAGTTTCTGATTTGAAGCTTAGTGATTTGAGAAATAACTAGAAACTTTTGACCTCCTCAGATCGATTGCAGTAGGAAAGGTAGGGGGTTTGCTCCCAGATACTGATGTTGAATTTTTTTGTGTTTGCCTGTAGCAGCTTAGTAATATTGATCTTGACAAAAGGAGCAAAGCAGTATCTTCCTTGGATGGAAACGATATATATGGTTGTCTAGGGGACCTCGGTAACTGGTCAGAGCTGGATGGAGGTGGATTGAACTTCTCCAACTGTCTGAAAACTGACTGTTCTTCAAGCTCCATTCCTTCATTTTACAATTTTGAGTGAATCAGAAGGCACGGGGTTTACTGCTGACATCTTGTTGGAGTCTAGTTTGTTCATGTATTCTGCAGCCAAGTCCTACTCTCCAGTGCCTTGGCAAGAAACTCATCATTCTTTTACTTCAATTTTTTGTTGTCTATTTGTTACGGGTTTGATTTAAGGACACGTTACAATTCACCATTTGTTATACGAGTTCACGAACCTCTTATTATGATTGCAGGATCATTATTTGTTATATGATTCTAAAGGTGATGGAACCTTTTTTTTTTTTTTTTGCCTGGAAAGCATAATAATCCATATTTTCATTTGTCATTGTCTGTTATAATTCGTCCCAGGTGAAAAGCAAAGAAAACCACAGGTTTGAGAAAGAAAGTGGTTAATTGTGGCAGTGAGTTTACATTTTTGCTTAGTCTTAGTCTTGGCATTATCATGCCTATAACAGGTTTTGTCAAATTTATATGGAATGCTGTCAATAAGATGTTATGATGGAGAGACTCCTTTTTAACCAAAAAAGAGAATCTGCTTGTGCTGTTTGTTTTGCATGACTATGTGTAGGGTCTGACTTTGAGCATTCAGTATTATGATGTAGCATGAGCATTTCAAACAGCAGCAGATTATCTTTTTTGGGCCTGCCCCGCTTGGAGCTGTTTTGGAGAACCAATTATGTGTTCGGGGAGGTTTTGGAGAACCAATTATGTAAATTGGGATGGGATTGAGGGCTGCATTGAAAAATCTTGTGATGTTTGGGCAAATTTGGGAGTTTGATTGTCCCTCTCCGAATAGATTATAAATTCATTAAATTATCCTTATATACTATGATATATTATTAAAATGTGAAGTATATATATGCACACAAGAGGAAGCCATATTCCTCATTTTGTTTCGTGTTTTAAGTGAGAGGGATGACAAAAATCCCCACTGTTTGGGGTGGTTTTGGAAAACTGATTATGTAAATGGAGACGGGAGATGGAGTTTGCTTTGTAAAATTCAATGGGTTTTGGGGTAGTTATGGGGGTGAAAATTTAAACGGGAATGGGGAATGAGATTTCTGCTCGATTGTCATCCCTAAGTATGTACATGAAATTGTGATAGTTACGCTATTTGGAAGTTCTTGTTTGTCTTTTTGGAGGTGTTTGTAGAAAAGTCTGAAATCTCCCCTCCCTTCATTGGGATCCAATTTACAATACCCGATGAGCCACCATGCCTCCCCAGGTGGCTTGGATCAAACGGTGTTTGACTCTAATACCAATTATAATGGATTGAATAATCGTTTGTGATCCAACCTTAAAACTTTAGCTATTAGGCGATGCTATTACCTAACTACATCTAGATTACTTATAACAATAGTGATTTACACCAAAATCTATATGATCCACATTCTCCCCATCTAGATTAGGGACTAGAACCTCTATCATTTGATCTAGTTTTTAGGATTAGTAATCAATTGATGAATGTCTATGTTCATTTTATGAGAGCGCTTTACTATTAGGTATATCACTCTTGTCGAAGACACTGCAATTCTAAGTCAAAATTTTCACCACCCACAATTTTGTCATTGTAATTAATCAGTTATCAAAACGAAAGAAACCCATAAAACAAATGTAAATCCATATCATATTTACTCCTTCAAAAGCATGTAAAACATCACCAAAATGTGGACATGCAGATTAGAACGATCCAATGGCATTAGAAAGGCGCAGAAACTATGTCCCTTGGTCCTGGAATTCGTAGTTCGTTGATCCATTCCTCTTCCAAATCCATTAATGCATCTCCATTCTTCATTGCACCACTCACAATAGGCTCTAAGCCCTGAAATTGAAATATAAAAACATCATCACTTTTATGTAATTGAAGTGCTGGTCAGCTCTAATCTTTTCTTTTCTGTTACGAAACATGAATATGATATAGATGGTATACTTTTGGATAAGATAACAAAATCGAAAATTCGAGAATCATGAAATGAATGAATTTTATAAATTTTGCCTCGTAAACATAAGAAAATATTACATTTATTTACGTGAAAGATATAAAAGCAATCAATCATTTCATGATTAAAAAACCGTAAGAGAGTTTGGAAGACAGCATAAAATAGATGTAATGTATATTCATGTGTACGAAGTTGGTAATATATACAGAGAAGCACTATTAATTTATTGTCATCCACTTCATGTTATCTTTATTCTACACTTCAAATCCAATTCAAAAGTTAAAGCTTCACATATATTAATGTTAGATGAACCTTAATTTTTTTTTTTTTTTTTTTATTTTATTTTTTGTGCTTCTATAAAGGACACATATATACCCAATAAAAGAGAAAGTCAAGAAATATTTCTTGCAATTTATCTTGATTAATATAAATAGATAAACAAGTATCGTGATAAAATTATAAACAGCTATAAGCAGTTTGTTCTGTTTTATACCTATAATCAGGCACGGGCCCATGAAGGGTCCATTTTTTTAATTTACAAATTTACCTATAGATTTTGTAAAAATCTTTAAAATGTCTATTTTTTTGTAAATTTTTTAAATATGCCTCCACTCAATTCTAATTCTAATGATACCCATTCTCTAAGTCCATCATTGTGGGAAATGCAGGTCGATGACAAATGTGTGTATTTGTATATGTGATTAATTTGTTATTTGAGGAAGAAGCTCATGGGTAAATTGTTTATTTTATGCCTTGATAGTGGATCGAAATAGTTATTCATCTTATCTAGCTAATCATCACGATTTCAAGCCGAGCCCAACACATTTATGCTTGCACTTCACATGCACTTTGTTTCCGCCCGGCACTTTTGTTGGTTCACTTAGGCTTGACTTGGAATCGTGACAAGTTTCAAAAACTAACCTCAAACTCAAATTCAGATGGTTTAATAAAAATTGTCAACGTCATACTGATTTTGAGCTTTTGTTCGGGATTGCTTTGACCCTTTCAAATGAATCTACGTAAGCTAATTCTTGAAACTCATATGTTCATAACTATATAAATTTTAAGCTCACACAAGTCTATGTTTGCAAATTTCATGAACACATAAGAGCTTAGATGAGACAAACTTAACAATGTTTCAAATTTACTCGTTTACTTAATGAATCAGACCGAACTTTAAATGAATTTATTCCAAACTGAAAGCTTGATTCATTTGCAGTATGTATACATATATAAACGTGAAAACAGATGAACCAATATAGCAATAACAAAAAAATAAAATAAAGCATGCATGGCTGATTACATACTACTTTTCAATTTTCCGAATAATTTAGAATTTCATTTCAAATGGTTTTTAATACTCCGTAAATTATTAATTACCTCCGTGAAAATTCTCAAAGCTTCTTCTGTGCCTCTCGTTTTCATCACGGATAATGCTGCATCCTGTGACCAAATCAATAGCCACAAAAATTATAAGACAAAAATATAAATAATAATAATAATTAATTAATTAATAAATAAAGCTATGAGTAATATATAATAGCATTAATTACCCTTGCAAATTGAATTTGATCAAAATGGAGAGTCAGTGGCTCTTTCTCAATTGATGACTTCCTCTCAATGTGAACAACCATGGATGAACCTCCCATCTTAGAGAGAGAAACAAAATAGAGAGAGAAACAGAGACCAACTTTATATATATGTATATATATATCTTCTTATGTCCGGCCAATTTATACAAGGGTGAGCGTAAGGTGAGCTGGAGGAGCACGTTACATAACGTGGCACAATCGAACAATTTGATGAAACACGTGGCAGTTGATGAGCTACTTTCTAATACAGTTAGATATTTTGATTTTATAACTTTCTAATAAGAGAAACAAAAATCAAACTGTTTCAACAAGTCTAACGTGTTTTGTGTCTTACGTGTCGTCGTGTTTTGAGTGACATGATCAACATTGGATTTATAATTAATTTATGATCCAGTAAAGAAGAATAAGGTAAAAATAATTAGGTGTAATTACATCTACATCCTCTTGGTAGTTGGTACACTTTGTCCTGCAGTACCGAGTGTATTTTATTATTTAAAGTGGTGAGATTCACTATTAAAAGTAGTAAACTTTCAAAATACATGTGAACTTAAGTGGCGGAGTGCTGTGAAATATATATATAAAAATATATGTGTGTGTGAGAAAATTACGTTCCTTTTTGGAGAGTTTTTTTAAATTTGAACAAATTATATAAAATTTCATAATACTCTTATATTATAATAATATATTATATTACATTTTATATAAATAAATAATAAAATTGTCATTTTATAAAATTTATTGAACATATTTGTCGATACAAATGAATAACAATATGTAATCTATCCAAGCAGAAAAAGCAAATTACAATTTTGTCAAAAGACACGAAATTTCCAAAATCTCTTATTTTTTGTTCTCTTCACTTGGATAAAATATTTTACCCGATTACCTGCACATTATCAAGTAAAACTACTAATGAATGTTTAATAAAAATAATTGTATAAAACTCCCATTGAACTCCCCCTTAAGAAAGTATCCAGTTTTCTCTCCCTGAACTCCCTCTTAAGAAAGTATCCAGTTTTCTACCCCTTTTTGGAACAAATTGACAAAGATATTAATGTCTGCGCAGAGAAAATAGAGAGAAACTGTTAAAGCGAGCAGTTAAACATGTCATTTAGTTAAAAAAAAATAATAATATCCACAAAATAATGACAATGTTAACAAAAAAAAAAAAAATGATTTCATGAATGCATAATTAGAGAACAAAATATTAGGCATCAGCATCTCCCAAAAATAATGTCAGAAGAACATCAATAATCTCCACCATCATCCTTATCACCATCATGATCATCGCCATCCTCAGATTCTCCATCATCATCCTCAATTACCAAAGATGGATCTGGGGGAGCAGTCTGTAGACATCCTCTGAAGAACCACCTATCTGTTGTCCTTTAAGCAGTCTCATCTCAAGCTTGAGCTCTCGAATATCATCCATCATTGACTTCTAGTTCTGAAGTAGAAGAGAGTACAACAAGCTCGCATCTTCTCTAGAAAAATTTCCTTTGGGAGGAAATAGCTTTGTAATCTCTAGAACCTGTGACGATGTCTCTTCAGATCCTCTCTGTGCTTTCCTAGCATTCTCTCTAGCTTTCTTGGACTTGTTCAAAGCATGGAGATCCAGCTCAGTCATGATACTATGATGATATGCCCTAGGAGGAATCAGAATTTTGTGTTTCCTATAGAAACTCATGATGATAATTGGAAACGGAGATGAATAGTGACGAGAGTTCTTCTTGTAATGAACCATCATCAATTGCACAATGGATGGTGAAAGCTGAATGTGTTCACCTATAGCAAGAAAATATAGAACTTGTGCTCGTTCTAAGGTGATCTCGTCCTTCTTCCCAAAGTAGCCCAGATTAGTAATGGCAAAAAGATTAAAGAATGCTGCTTCATCTGTGAGAAAATGAGCAGGAATGTACTGATCCATGAACACAAAGGACATTGGCAATTTGAGGCAATTCCGAACCCGAACCTTCCAAAGGTAAAACCTTTCCTAAAATTGGATCTCTATTCATGATATCCAAGATTGCTTGTATCTTTTCTTCATCAACTATGTAGTCCGTCCCAAAAATAGACACCATAAAATGCATCTCAAATATTTCTCTGATATTGGAATAAAAGTAGTGAACCATATCCGGAGAAAAATTACCTTTACCTAGCTTTGTGAAGAACAACCATTTGTTTGTCTCAATGTAGGTAACAAGCTTCTGCCCAGCACTGTCTCAAAGCTTTTTTAGATTTATATTCCTCTCGGTTTTGATTGGACCGCCTTTGTAGACGTCATTATACGCCTTCCAAGCAAGAGCATTATAGAAGTGATCTTCTGTAAACTCGATCTTCCCTGTATCAGAAACAAATAGATACCCAACTGGTATCGCTTGTGACGGAGAATCAGTCGCCATATGAGTGGAAGATGTGTCCATTGGAGCATTAGAACCTCTTTGGGGTTCTCAGATGACGATGCTGATTCGAGCTCTTTTGGAAACTTTCGTAACCTCAATTCCTTTGCCTTTGGCCTCCTTGGATATTCTTGGTGCTATTTGATTAACGAAAATTTTTGGTTTGAGGCTTCAAAGTTCTTTCGGTAATTTTATCAGACACCTAGTGTGCAACCCCAAAGGTGTTCTTGAGAAAGCTTTGTTTCAATCTTCAAACCTCCACAAAATCAATCACAATGAAAAACCTCACATAATCCTTAACAATTTTACCCCCAAATTCTTCAATCTTCTTTAACAACTCCATAGATTAACCAATCCTCTAAGTTTAGACCCAAACTCCCAATTTCAATTTCAACTTTAAATTTTGAACTTCAAATCTTTGTATTTCAATGCTCAATGATTTCAAAATTCCAATGCAATGAAAACAATTATAGAGATGGAATGATGAATAATGTATGAAGTGTGTTATATATGTGCTCGGGTGAATATATGAGAGTATATGTGAGAGGAAAGGCAAAAATCGCACAAAGAAAGGGTTTAGGAGTGTCCCTTCAGCGCGCAAGATGCAGGCCTTAAGTGCCCATGCTTGAACCGGTTCAAGAATTGTGGAACCGGTTCAAGTCGGGTAGTTTCTCTTTAAAGGAACTAAAAATATCTTGAACCGGTTCAACAAATTTGGAACCGGTTCAAGTCAAGCAGTTCCAATTTCATTGAAATTTTGCAACCTTGAACCGGTTCTAGGAATCCATAGTAGAATTTATCAGAAAATTTTTCTTCCAGATTTTTCAAGACACTCAATAATCAAACAAACCCAAAAAAAAAACCTTCTAGAATCTAAAAATCAAAATCTTTTTGAATTTTTGAAAAAAATTTCCATTTTTTTAAATTTTTTTTTAAAAACAAGAAACAAATCATTGAGTAGAAATATCATAATCTTTCAAGTCCACACATGATCCAAATTTCTAGAGAATATTACGAATATCTATGAACACAAATTTTTGACTCCATAGAATCTTCAATAAATTTCAAATCTCAAAAAGCAATCACAACATGAAATTCAACTTGCAAATTTTATTGAAATATTTAGAAATCAATTTAGCAAGTTCATGTATGTGTGTGAAATCCAATCTCATCAATTTTTAATCAAATTTCATCAAATCATTGTCTAAATCATACGGATTGAAAAGTATCAAGATAAGATTGTTTTTGAGCAAATTTTTCTAAGTAAGGTGGTTTTCACTCTTAAGAGCAAACAACAATTCCCAAGTTCAACTTGTCGCCACCTTTCTTTTTACTCAAATAACTCCACTTCAAAGTTTAATGGAAGCTTTCGACCCAAACTCAATAGGTAGCCTTTTCCTCAACAAAGAATTCAGCAAATTTTCAAAAAAAAAAAAAAAATTCATGTTGAATATTGCTTTTATTTTATTTTATTTTCTTTAAACTATAACCTTTATAACTTTTGTGATTAATATAACCTAAGAGTTGCGTGTGTTGCACATGGAGGAGGAAATTAAGTGTTTTCACTTGCATAAATAATATGGAGAAATTTTTTTTTTGGGTCACAGTTCGCAACAAATTATTGTTGCTAGGAAATTGATGACTTGTTTGGAGGATGGAAAAATTTCATATTCTTTTGAAGTTAGATAAGAAGTCTGATTGACATTTACTTGTGTTAAAGAAACAGGGCGTGTCAAAGACATGATGGTGAGATCGAACACCTATATAAAGAAGAGGTGCACGGTGTGTATAGGAAAGTTGTAGTTAGTGAACTTTTGATGAATAGAATTACCGATTGACTTTCATTATCTGTAAGTTTATCACGGATCAGTGGTACATGGATTTAGTTGCAGAGTTAACTTTTGAAGATGCTCCAATTTAAACAATGGGTACAGACGAAAGCTGGTGATACCAGACTAACGATACTTTTTGCAGACAAATTAGACGGAGGATGTAAGGACTGAAGTTCACCATTTTAAGTTCTTTATTCATCCAGATGGAATTATGATGCTTCACAGTATTGAGAAGATGTTTGGAGGACAGGCAGGAAGAGGGATAACGTGATTTTGTCTCCAATCCTAATATTTATTAGATAGTCGAGATGGACCATCAGTGTAATACCCCTAATTTTAAAAGGATAGTCTTGGTATTTTATTAATTGTTTTAATTGTGTTTTTAATTCTTTATTTGATTTCTTGGTTATTTGTTTAATTGTTTATATGAATTAATTGATTATGTGTTTATTTGAAGTATTTGTTTAGTTGAGTTTTGTGTTAGATGATGTGTATTTGATTATTGAATGGTAGGTATTTTCTTGTAATTAATGTTTAGGAATTAAATGTTTTAAATGGTTGTTTTATTTTATTTTATTTTAGTGGTTATGGATTTTAGTCATGGGCCAACTAATTGAGTTTCATGGACTACTTGGATAAGAGGTTAAATGGGTACGAATAATTACCCATGGATAGTGTATATGTATATATATATATATATATAAAAATATACATATATATTTAAGGAAAGTCCTTTGATGATAATCTAATGTATTTATTTTACTTAAATAAAAATAATATACATAGATTACACGTAACATATATTTTGAGTTACCTTTTTAGTATTTTTTTATTATTATTTTCTTTATTAATTTGAGGAGGATTGGGAAAAGGAATAGGGTTATTATTTA